ATCCATCATTTGCCATATTGGTAATTTTTTTCCCAAGCACTGGTCTCGGAGTACTTCTCTGAACTCATTCCTCCTTTGGCAATATATTGTATAAAGACAGACCAGATTTAGGTGAATGTTCCATCAGAGAGGTGACCTCTGATTATTGCTAGAACTAACTCTCATAACTGTTCATCTGGAACTGGCACATGGGCTGATGGGCGAGCCAAGATGCCACATGCAGCCACCAAGCAACCAAACTGGATATGCAAATATCTTCATGCAGTGACTCTTAATCTGAGACTATGAACCTTGTGCTGCATAGAGTGTGATGAGATGAAATGCAATCTGGTGTTATCTGGCAATAAGGCGTCTGGGCCTCCTCCTTCAACTTACCAATTAGATGTCTAGATCTATGACAGATTTCCGCAACCTGATGATCTTCAGGGATTTCAATTCCCATGAGCCCCAGCCAGCATGACTGATGATTTTCAGAAGAGTGGGAATTGTCATATGAAACACTTGGAGGGCTCCAGGTTGGAGAAGTCTAAACTTCAGTGATCATATGGCACATGCCTTGACAATGTGTGTATCATTCTTATTTTCTGCATCTTTTGAAAACAACTCTATTCACTATGCTGATCTCCCTAGCTCCTCCCCAGATATTTTCAACTTTCCCTTCTGGAAGGGAAGGAGATACTCTACCCTGCCAGACTTTAGGGTCCTATGGCATGGAAGAGAGCTCCTGCACCATAGGCATCCTTGCCAATATCTCTTGGGGGAAATGATGGCTGGAACATGAACAGTGGTGTGTACACATAACTTACGTTGTAGTGAACCAGTGTGCACTTACACATTCCGGGCAATAGCCCTTGTCTTGATATGAGAGCTGGTAACTTTTAAGTCTGACGTGGAGACAGTGATGGATGGAACCCACTGTAGTTGGGGGAAAAGAAGGCCAAACAGAGGTGGGTGGAGCCCGGAGGACAGGCAAAGCCAGGGGCAAAAGTGGATATTTGTGCACAGACATTCAGGCGGACAAGTAGGCTTTCACAGAGACACAAGAGGAGAAAGTCCTGACCATGTCTCTTTGGTGAAGAGACGGGCAGAAGTGGGCTGGCCCAGGGATGTCCCAAATCTGTGGTTGAGTGGTGTCCCCTTTTCTCTAATGGATGAGCCTCTACTGTGGAGGGGTAGGAAATGCATGCAGACCAACAGGCTAGAAACCGCTGCGCCTATGTACGGATCGTGGCTTTAGGGCCCAGTTCCCTTTGATTTCTTGGCAAGGAGCCTCAGCTGAGATTACCCTCCGGTAATGAAAAACCAAATGCGCAAATCATAAACCACTTGGCAGCAGTCAATTCAGAGGCGTCTCATCAGCCTTGCCATTATGATACCTCGCATCCTTTGGCTGAACACTGAGCACCTTTGGCAGGTTCCCTAACCAAAGCAGCTGCAAAGCTTGGCGATGTTCCTGAAATGGTAAAAGAGACACTCATCAGTTGTGGGTGAATATTGATGCCGTACAACACAGACCAGAAGGTCACGATGGCCTGCAGAGATTACGCCATTATTTGCAGGCATTTTCAATCTTGGCATCACGAAAGGCCTCCAAAGATGATCTCCTGGCCCCGGCTCAGAGAAAGTTAGTCACTCTGACATCCCATTAAAAAGCAAGGGAACTTTTCCCCACTTGTTATAATTAATGGAATGTTAAATGTTGCTCGTTCTGCGCCCCAATCCTTTGTTGTATGGGAGGAGGGAGCTACTGAGATCTTATGGACCAGAGAGCTGAGACTTAAGGGAGCTTCAAAGTATCTTTTGGGAATCTTTGGCCAGGGTTCGCCACTGCCATGGTTTCATGGTGCCACTGCAAACCCTGACTTGGGCTGCAGCCGACTGAAGAAAGCTATTCTGTCGCAGCCTTCTCTTGCAGCTAACTGCATGGAGAGAAGACGCAATGCTAACGTTCTCATGGAAAAATCACCATGCTCCATATGATGGGAATGAGAACCCTCTGGCTTGTGAGCTAGATCCCACAACCTGAGCTGTTGCCCAGTCTCTGACTGAAAAATGCCACACATGTAAAAGGAATTGCACAAGTCTTGAAGATTTCTGGTTGTCATGTGCCTGGGTACACAGCCAAGTGTGAGATCTGGGTATGTCTGGGCACATGACACACAGCTGGAATGTTGCACTCACTGGAGATGCAATTTTTGGGTTTATGCTATGCAAGCCTATTAAGAGTTTGGACATTGGCTCCAAACACTGATCAGAGTACTAAAAGTATTTAAGGGCAAGGAGGATGTGGCAAGGATTGGAGAGACTGCATGAAGACTTACTCCTGAGTATATTTGCATTAAAATGAGCTCTAGTGCAGTGGTTCTCAAACTGGGATCCCCAGATGTTCTTGGACTTCAAGTCCCACAAGCCTTCACCACTTGCTCTCCTGGCCAGGATTTCTGGGCACTGCAGTCCAAGAACACCCAACCCAAGGTTAGGAACCACTGCTTAGTATACCATGTAAGAGCTGTTAGTGTACCATCTAAGAGCTGTTAGGTTGGGGCTTACTTTTGAGTAGGCATGCATGGAACTGAACTGTGTACTTTGGACATTTGGTGGGAAAAGGTCCAGATTCGAAGGTGAAATGTCCTTCTGAAAATGTGACCGCTTTTTAACAGAAGCCACTAAGTATCAGATACCCATCATTCAAAAATGCCTAGTTATCTGCAGGTTTTCTGAAGCACAAATTCCTCCAGATGTGGGCTTATATCCCTGGCCATACCCAGCTGGCAAATAATGGCGAAGGATGACGGCAGTTGTAATCCAAAATCTAGGTATTCTAGCTTGAGGAAGGTTGTAGGAACAGTTGACCTACACCACAAGGTCTATTCCTACCCCTTCCCTGGCATCAGCCACAAATGATACAGAGGAAAGGGGCAGGGGAAAGTAAGATATCAGTGACATCAAGAAAAGAGATGAGACTGAAGAGGTAACTAAGCTATATAAGGTGTTCTCTTGCCTCTCCTATCTGGATCTTGGTGTGTTTCTAGTAATATGTTATGTTTTTAAATTATACTTAGATTTGATACATCGACACCCGCCCAGAGTAGTCGGTACAACTAGAGTATAAGGTGTTCTCTTGCCTCTCCTATCTAGATCTTTACGTTTCTAGTAGTATGTTGTTATGTTTTTAAATTGTTCTTAGATTTGATACATTGACACTGGCCCAGAGTAGTCGGTACAACTAGATGGG